CACAAGCGCGCAGCCCCCCAAGCCGCTCACCCAAGCCCGCCTGCGGAGACAGAGACTTGCAGACGTTGATGAGGTAGTGCTCGGTGGCCCCCGTGCTGGTCACCGCTTCCCAGTTGTCCGTGTACCTCGACAGGGACGACAGGTCGAAGGTGTTTCCAGCCGTGTCTCTGCAGGGGAGAGGCTCGTGAGCGTGGGGGCTCCCCAGCGGCCGCCGCACAGCCCTGCCCCATGCGCGGGCGGGTCTCGCCGGACACAGCTCCCCACAGGCCCCCGCCAGCGCCCGCATCCCGACCTGCATCCGGGACACGCCGCCCAGGAAAGCAGGCCCGAGTCTGACCAGCAAGGCTCCTGGCTCTGGCCACCGAGAGACACGCGCCCACCGCGAGGCCGCTCTGGGAGGGGGAGAGGAGCTGGATGCTGGGCAGCGGGTCCAGGGAGGAGACCTCAGGGTGAGCTGAGGGAGGGCCAGCGCCTGGCACCCTAGAAAGGCCGGCACGTGGCGGGCAGGCGGGGCACCGCAGGCCACACCTGTCTGTGACTGTGACCGGAGGGCCGGCCGATCAAGGCCGCCTGAGACCCGGCTCACGCCGTCTCAGAGGGTGTGGGGGAAGCGCCCGGCCGACTCGGGGTGCACGAAACCAGCACGGGGGTTCTGGCAACATCACAAAGGCCCAGCGGGGCCCAGCACCTGCCCGGAGGCAGCAGCCGCGTGAGGACGCACGCACCCAGCGTCCACTGCAGCGTCACTGCGAGCAGCCGGCCCCAGGCGCCCGTGGCAGAGAGGCCAAGGAGGTGCGGCCTGCGGGGCCGGCCTCGCCCAGAAGCGTGCAGAGCGGGGTGCGGCGCTGAGCAGCGTGGCTCGGAGGGAGGACAGGCGCTGGGCCCCCACGGGGCGCACCCGAACAAAGGACAGACAACAGCCAAGTCCGCAACTCTGACGCTAGGACCGAGGCTGCCGGGCGGGGCGGGAGGCTACTGGGGAGGCCGGGCTGCCGCTCCGGAGACGCTGCCCGCAGCCGGCCCCAGGCGCCCGTGGCAGAGAGGCCAAGGAGGTGCGGCCTGCGGGGCCGGCCTCGCCCAGCAGCGTGCAGAGCGGGGTGCGGCGCTGAGCAGCGTGGCTCGGAGGGAGGACAGGCGCTGGGCCCCCACAGGGCGCACCCGAACAAAGGACAGACAACAGCCAAGTCCACAACTGACGCTAGGACCGAGGCTGCGGGGCGGGGCGGGAGGCTACTGGGGAGGCCGGGCTGCCGCTCCGGAGACGCTGCCCGGGCGCCGCCAGCG